AGGCGCCATTTTTTGGTAGGCTTGTTACGGGTGATGAGAAGTAGATCCTTTCCCATAACGTTAAACGCCGCAGATTGTAGATTAGTGGAGGAGGAAGATCATTTCAACAACCAAGAGGAGGACTTCGTCCAAAGAAGATCATGTTGAGTGTATAATGGGATATTAAAGAAATGGTTCATTACGAACACTTAAACAACAAGCAAACAATTACTGATAATTTATACTGTGATCAACTTCGTCATTTGAACAGAAAGGGCGTTATCCATCTCGATAATGCTCGTCCTCACACAGCTTGGCTGACTAAAAATCTTTTGGAACAGCTTTTTTTAGAAATATTGCTTCATCCACCATATTCTCCTGACCTTGCTCTTTCTGATAATCACTTGTTATCAGGGACTACAGACTCATTTGGATGGTCTTAGGTTGACATCAAAGCAGATGTTGAAAATGAATCGCATTCATATTTTCATCATAAAACCTAAAGAATTTTTCAGGTATTTGTAAGCTTCTTAGCAGATGGAAGGATGTTCTAGTAAGCAAAAGAGGGTAATGTTACAGAATAAATATTTTCATAATACTTGGCTTTTTCATTTTTAATATAGACCTTCAAATCGGACATTACTTTGCACCCATCTGTTAGAACCCATTAAGCCATAGACACATTAGCGAACGGCCATCACCCATTTCTTATTCCATTGGTGAGATGTACAGTGCTGTTCGATAAAAGTGACTCACCTTATCCTTTGAATTTAGCTCAACTTTCATTTCATCGGAGAAGAGAACATTCTTCCAGTTTTCTACCGTGAAATGTTTGTAATAGTAGAGCCCATTCAAGTCTCTTGGCTTTGTTGGCTTTGCTTATTAGCGGCTTAAACCTTCGTGTACAAGATTTGCACCCTTGTTCTAACAAGACTTGTAACCTTGTTCTGACGGACTGTTGATGATGCAAGACTAACACCTTGCTCTTCGCTTAGACTGGCTGCAATTTCTTGGCTAGTTATAGTCCTATTCTTCGCAACTTCTCTCTTGATTTCCCTGCCAGTTCTATCATCAATCTTTTTCTTTCGTCCCCTTGTTTCAGTCCTTGGAACAGGAGTGGCATCATTATGTGCCCGAAGCACTCGAGAGACAGTTGATTGCGAGGTTATAGCAATTTCTGCAATTTCTCTCGTAGACTTGCCTGCTTTTGAGAGGGCAATAATAGATGCCTTAAGTGGTTCTGATGCGTATTTTTACCCTTTCATCTGGTTAGTGACTTGAGTGGCTATTTCAAGCTGTTTTCATACTGTGTGAGGCTTTCTGGAATATTCTGGAATACTCTAGATTTAATTTAAGCTGTTCTAGAATTCTCTAGAATATTGTTCTGAGTGTATTGTAAAATACTTTTCAATATTTTGTCAAAGGTTCTTTAAATTTACCAGTTTAATCATTAGAATGCGATATCTGAGTCACTATTTTTGCACAGAGTTTTTTTCATGAATCTCATTTATATCCAAATTTATAATTATCAATAGAATACCTTAAGGTGAATAAACTTTTTTCCTAGGTGGTCGGGAAGGAGTCTTTTTATTAGTAAGATTTTAACCCCAAAAACAAAAGAAAAAAATATTTTTAGTAAAAAAATCAGGTGAGTCACTTTTATTGAACAGCACTGTAAGTTCGACTCGGACAGCTTCTCACCATCAGGTGGAAAATACTCTCAAATGGATAATTCAATGTCAGCTTGTTCATGTCTAGGGTTAACTTCTATCTTACCTATATATCCTCATAAAATTTGCCTCTTACTCTTAATGTGTAAATCTTATCCAGTAACCCTTAATCTCGATCGTTTCTTCAAAGAACGAAATATACGTAGATTTCTTTCTTTCTTTTTATATGCCATGTCATCACAGGGCGTAGGCGGTCATGGCTCTCCACCTCTTTCTATCTCTTGCAGCTCTCAGCAAGCTCCTTCCCTCTACTTCTGCCCTCAAATCACGTTCTGTCATTCACCTTATCAAGCTCGTCAGATATGCCTCGCGCTGCTTTCCCTTGTGTCTCTTTCCCTCTATTCAACCCGTGAGTATCAGATTCTCCAGGCCGTCTTTCCTCATTATGCGTCCCAGAAACTCCAGCTGCCTCTTTCTGATGTAATGTCCGTATATTTATGTACGTATTCCGTTGTTAGATAAATTCGTTCGTTTTGTTTTTTCTGTTTATTTTAATCCTATTATTCATCAACATTTTTTAACAAACCAGTCCATAATATATCCCCCTTCATGTCAAAATACCTTCTGCTGAGCCAATTCGATAGTAGGGTAGATCCTCTCGGATGGGATCGTTTAGTTGGTCCTCGTCGAATTGAATGGTTCGACCGAAGCACGTACAGACTGCGAGGTCGAAGTTCCAGTTCTTGAAATGTGAAAAACATTTCTGAGCATTTCTCTCTGTAATAGCGCCCTGTTTTGATTTGATTTGTTTTGTTTTGTTTTACGTCATATTAACCTCAATGGGTTCATTA